CTCTTCCGATCTAGATGATTTCACATCTGTTCTTCGCTGATGGTATTATTCTTTTTTCGATAATTACTAATAAAAGCTGCAATGCTATCATAGATGTGATCAATCATTTTAGCAAACACTCAGGCCAAAGAATAAATTTTGAGAAATCAAAATTATTCTTTTCTGAAAATAGCTCGGTAAATGATAAGGAATTGGCAATGGACTGTTTCCAAATGAAGGAAGGAACAAATTTTGGCAAGTATTTGGGTTTTCCTATGTTCCATACACGCTTAAAAAAGGCGGACTTTCAATTCCTGTTGGATAATTTCAAAGTTAAACTAGCAGGATGTAAAACAAACTTTCTTACAATGGCGGGACGAGCTACTCTTATTAAATCAACCCTTAATAATTTGCCAAATCACATTATGCAATATATTCACATACCTACCTCGATTATAGACAGGATGGAACAGTACCTGCATAATTTTCTATGGGGATCTACCACAACAAGGAAAAAAATGCATCTTATTAAATGGAAAAAAATTACACAACTAACTGAAGTGGGAGGCTTAGGGATTCAGAGTCTTCATCAAAAGAATAAAGCTTTACTTGGAAGTCTAGCATGGAGAGCCTTCCACTCACATCAAAATCTTTGGTCAAAAGTTTTAATTAATAAATATGTTCGTTCAAGTTCTACTACTAATCACTCCGCCATTTGGGGTAACATACTAAAAGGATGGCAATTTTGCCAACTAGGACTGCAGTGGCAAATTGGAACATGTGAGCATATTAAATTTTGGAAAGACACGTGGATAAAGCTTGCTCTGACTGTTCGATCATTGATAAGTAGTCCATTACCTATGTCACAACAAAATATTAATATTAACTCAATCTACAATCACAATACTTGGAATTGGAACAACCTTCCTTTTCAATTTCTTGACGACTTAAAAAATTGGTTAGCAACCACTTATATTTCCACGTACAACTACAAGGGTGATTGTATATTCTGGGCCTTAACAAAGGATAGAAAATTCTCGGTAAATTCTATTTATAAAGCTTTGCAAAATCATGTTGCTAATGAACACAATACATCTCTCCATTTCAAATGGATATGGGACCTGCCTGTACATCTTAAAATCAAATATTTCATTTGGTTACTTAACCATAATAGACTACCAACTTTTCAATACCTAAGACATCTTAACATTACTGCTACTGCTGAATGCACATACTGTCATAAAGAGGATGAATCTTTAAATCATCTATTTCTTACATGTGTAAACGCAAAAAAATTATTGAAATGCTTTAGGTATGGGTAGTTATATAAATAGCCTACTTATTTTTGATACACCTCAGGAGTGGCTGCTTCCGTTGCTAAATTACAAAGACAATAAATTTCCTTACAATTTAAATAGGCGCACTTATTTACCATTAAGTTTATGGAATATTTGGACTATTAGAAACAGAAATGTTTATGAGGGCAGGCATGATTCGATTAATAAAATCTTTACTACTCAACAAGCGACTGAATTTTGTTACCTAGTTGCATCGTCACATAAAATACAAACCCGGGTCAGAGTTCCCCTAAAATGGATACCTCCAAAACCTAACATATATAAACTAAACACTGATGGGACACACTCACCAATCTCGAATAGATATGGTATTGGAGGAATAATTAGGGACCATAAGGGAAACTGGATTATGGGCTTCTCAGGTAAAGTACTTTCTCAATCGCCTATTGCTACAGAAATATTTGCTCTATTACAGGGACTTACATTTGCAGTACAACACAATCTAACACCACTTCAAATGGAAATTGACGCTAAAGAGGTACTCACGCTACTACAGGATAATAATGTAGTACATGCTAATCTCCTGAATGATTGCAGGCACTTGCTGAGGCAGCTACATGATCCAGTAGTGAGCCATGCGTACAGAGAGCAGAATAGATTATCAGATCAACTAGCAAAATCAGGAAGCTTTTTGGAAGGAAACTCTACTATGTAGATTTTTGATAAACCACCACTTTTTGTTAGCACAATATGGAATGAAGATGAGCGTGGGGTATCTACTATACGCTTACTGCCACTTCGTACATGGGACTTGCCACATCGACCTACACTGCATGCAAATGGAAGCTCTATCAGAAGCTCAAATGTTTTTGAATGTTGTAATGATATCTCACTTGTTGTAACTGCAGACAATATAGCTAGTACTAGTAATGACTTACCTTGTATAGTGCTACCTGAGCACAAAGGCCTCTGTACGCATATGTTTGTTTAATAGAATATCTATCTTTACTACCAAAAAAAAAAGATAATTTTTCTCACAAAATCATCAATCTCTCTCAATCTCTCTCATTTCTCAAACTCAAATTGAAGTATTCAAGTGTTCAAGTCTTCACATAAGCTATATAATTTACAAGAAATTGCCTTAGATAAAAAATTTTTAAAAAAAATTGGCCCGGCCCACTTAGGCTCGGGACCGGCCTACTTAGCCCGGGACCATTAGTTAGTGGTCCCAGTCCCAGGCCGGTTCCTACAAAAAAGCTCGGGACCACTTAGGACCGGCCCGCAAAGCCCGAGACCACTTAGGACCGGCCCACGAGCCCCGTTTAGGCCCGGGCCCGGCCCACATTACACCCCTAGTAGTCCTCTCAAGATTTCACTTAGGCAAATGGCCATATGACTCTTTAAGAGGAAACGTCAAAGGGATAAAAACCAGGTTTCTTGTTAACTCGGTGCAAATTGTATGCACAACTCAGCACAAGTACACAATCATTGAAGTTTTTTTATTAATTTTCCATAGTAGAAATTTGCATTAAACAAATCTCTTAATCTCATTAACATAATCTCCCTGAATATTATTAGTCAATGGTCAGAGGCTCAGAGCAAGGAACTTTAGACTTTAGAGAGAGTAGAACATTTGCATTCATAAATTTTGGTAGTCACAATCCTGAAGCATGGCTAGCAAATTACTCTTAAGTATATTTTGACTTCTAATTAGAAATTAATTATCTGTTACCATTTTATCGTACTGTAATAAGTGACTAAATATATTTTCTAAACTTTAATATGCTAAGACCAAATATTGTTCTAATTGAGTCGAATTAATCACAAAAATCAAACTTTAAAGAAAAACTTAACAAATAACATTATTTGAATATCAACTACGACACTCAATGTGAGGCCGTATACTTTCAATTTTGGTGGACATTACATGAACTCTTTGCTTGTGATTTTATAAGAAGTTGTCCGGTGAATTGTCGAGTTATAACAAGTTGGTCTTGAAAATTAATAAATTTAATATGAAAGGCTAAATATATTAAATATTTAAGACAAAAAGAATTTTATATAGTTAATTATATTTGTAATTATTAGACTTTAATTATAAAAATAAAATTATTATTTTGTTATTATATAACTGAACAATATGTGAATTACTTAGAAAAAATAAATGAATAGAAATAACAAATTTTTATGCCAAAATACGACACGTCATTTGCCGCGTCAATATTTTGTATATGTTATTCTATCTCAAAAAATTTAAGGAATCAATGAGTAAATTTTTGACTATCCATACTTAGAAGAAAAAAAAATTCAAATTAAACAAAAACTAAAATATACTGATTACAAAATTGAAATCATCCTATTCTATAAAATAGTACTCGTTATCAACTTTCCAATAGTTTTTTAATATATATATATATATATATATATATATATATATATATTAAAAATATTTATACTATTATATTTTGTTTTTGTTTTTTTAGAGTGAATTTATTGTGCGAAAAGTGATGATATTGCGAGCGAGTCTCATAATCTTTTATTAAAAGTGTTAGTTTTTTGAGCAACTCAAGCATATTAAACTCTTTTTAATAAGATAAAAAATAATTTTATGATATTATTTTTCTAACACTAAAGTTCAATAACTATCTACAAAAATAACCCAAACTTTTTTAGTAGCAAATTACAAAAATTGACTAGTCGAAAACTAATTGCATTCGCGAAAATTATATAAACTATATGTTTTATGTAATTTACGTAAGTATAAAAAATATATACTATATTTAATCAATTATTATTTTTAGAAGCGATTAAAAATATATAATTCTTTTGTTACTCTCATATGTATGATAATAATCAAAGTAGTATATTAGTGTAAAGAGGAGGCGGCTTGGGGGGAAGTACTGAAGGGTAGGTGGGTTGATATTGAGTGGCGCAGGGTTGAGGTTTCACTTGACCTTTTATTATGTGGTCATAAAGAATGGATTTTCTAAAAGCTAAAAAGTAACAAAGAAAAGGGAAAAATGAAATTAAATCAGGCAGAAAAGAAGGAGAAAGAAATAGAAAAAAAAGGAAAAAGGAAAAAGAAAAACGCAAAGCTAGAATTAGTAGAGCAGTAGAATAGCAGATAGATAAACATACTGATAGATATTTAGATATATTGAGATAGGAAAAACANATTAGTTAGTATATAGTAGAGAGTAAACGAAACAACAAAACTAAAATTAAAATTAAAACCTTAACCTCTCTCTCTCTCTCTCTCTCTCTCTCTCTCAGCTAAGACATCGAAGAACAACAGCGAAGCAGAAGAATTCTCATATCTTTTTGCCTTTGTATTTTTTCTGTTATGTACACTTTTTGACTCCTTTTGTTCTTCAATAGTATAATTTTTGTTTTTTTTTTAATTTTTTTTATCTCTGCTGTGTTATTGTTGAATCTGAAAAACCTTATCGTCAACATCTGCAGCTAATGGATCCATTTGATTATGTTTCGTCCATAATCGAGCTACGTAAAGGTATATTCTTATATCTCTCTCAGATCTTATGATTTTTACACTATTTCTGGTTGAATTGTTGTTTTTTTTCTGTATTTTTGTGTTAAATTTCAAATTCTGTTGCGATTCATGGAGATCTCTGGATATTATTGGTCTTGGAGCAGTGAAATTTTTGTTTTTAGTTTAATTTTTGTTTATTTGGTATATATAAGATTTTTAAGTCTATTTTAGTGATGATTCTTGTTGTTTGTTGAAATAGTTTGGTGAAGTGAGGTTTAGTAAATTCTTGTTTTGCATGATCAAAATTTATCAAAGTATCACTAGTTTGTTGGAATATTTTGGTAAAAAGATAAGGTTTATTGAATTATTTGCTTCTATGATTAGGATTTAATGTTATTATGTTTTAATATGGAGATGTGTAAGTACAATTGACATCAAGTTTTGCTAATTGTGGTTTACTGAACGAATTTGCACTCTTATGCTCGTAGTTGTAGATATTATTAGCGAAATTATTTATTATTGGAATGATATGATATGAAATAGATTGGGTTGGATACAGGGATTCATACAGCCGACCTGACGATCAGAGCGCAGTTGATTGATTATAGATGTTATTCATGTCTAATGTGATTATAATGCAAGACTTGGTGGATGATGAGTTATCTGATTGAAGTAACTCAATATATAGTGAACTCGAAATTTTGATGAACCTATACACGACATGCAATGAGTTAGTATTATCGGACCACCTAAAGCTATTTGTTCATACTTGTGTTTGTTCCTTTTTGTTTTCCCTTGTTTATACAATGGTGGTGTCCGATCCAGCTTTTGCGCAACTCGATTAATCGACCGGGTACATGCCACCTCCCACTAGCAAAGTTATTGAGTCATCAAGTAATTATGCGGTTCTGCCCGCTATGGCTTATGCCGAATGGAAGAATTCACTTAGTGTCTTTTGTCCAACATTGATTTGAACCTTGGTTTCTCATAGTTTTCACCCACTTCATTGGCCATGCAACAAACCTTTAGACTCTATTTGTGTTTGTTTGTATGATTAATATCCGATTCTTGTTGTAGTAATAATGTAAAACTGATGTCGATCATTTCTTCTCGGCTTTGGGCCTATGAAAAGTGGTCATAGTTGTTTTATGATTATTTTTATCTTATATTTTGGACTTAAAGATGTTGATAAAGGAGTTAAGTTTTTGAAGCTTTTTTCTTTCTTTTTGGCAGGGTTTGGGTGACAAGGATTGCATAGTTGCATCTTCCTATAATTAGAAGTTTAATTACGCATAGATACCCTTTATTTTCTTAACCTACTTGAAACAAGAAAGAGGAAATAAAAAGTAACGAAAAGAAAAGAATGAGCTTTACAGGAAAAGGGACTCCTACCAGTGACAAAAAGCTAACCTTAGCAAAAGCGACAAGCTTGAATCCAAATGCTGCAGAATTTGTTCCCTTTGCACTCAGATCACCCTCAGGTAGCACTAGCAGTACAGATGCGGCAAAGCTTTCTAACTCCACCACAACTCTGGGAAAAGCTGTACTAGATAGATCGGAGTCATCTGTTTCGAATAACTCAGATGATGAAGCCCACCAGTACTGGCGTCGCCAGCTCCCGGATGATATTACGCCGGACTTCAATGTCGTGGGAGAAGAAGATTCTCACGGAGTCAGCAATCTTCCATTTTCTAGATTATCAATAAGTGATGTCAGTGAAGCTTCAATATTCCCTGCCTCAACTGGCAGTGGCTTTATGTTGAAGGACCAGCAGGAATTCTCTCCTCGGGTTAATGGGACCGGCTTTGCTGAAAAGACGGGATATCCTATTACATCTTTTAGCGAAGATGCATCCCCAACTAGTTTTCATCTGCCTGCTAAACCCTGGGACAAGCCATCTCTGACCAATGACCAGCCTTTCGGCAATATTAGGGAGGGGCCTCATTATAATGGGAATTCAGGAAATAGCTTCTTTGCGGACATGACTAATGAGCAACCATTTTTTGAAGCAGATGTAAACCCTCTTGAATTTTTGGCCTCTCAATTTCCTGGTTTTGCTGCTGAAAGTGTTGCAGAGGTGTACTATGCCAGTGGAGGTGACTTGAATCTGACAATTGAAATGCTTACTCAGCTTGAGGTATGGTTAACTTTCTTAATCTTAATGGATACAGTAGCATACAATTGTATTAACTTCAAAAAGGCAATTGCCTTTCTATTCTTCAAGACTTGATCTATTACCTTAAAGTAATGCAATTCTGTTAACCATTATAGGCTGGGATTTGGTTGTCTATATGACCTACTGGTTGATTATTATTTATTTATTTCCTCTGAGTATATCCAACTTTTGGGAAGTATTGATCAGGGATTAGAATTATCTGAGCCCCGTGTCTTGTTAAATAGAGGAATCCGGATTTTTCTCCACGTGATGTTTAAGTGTTCTATGCTTATAATTGTCTTGAAAATTCTACAATATATGTGGTAAGTTTAGTCAATCAGCTACTTATCTAAAAGAAAAAATAGTTTAATCAATTGGCTTTCATCATTGAGTCCCAGTGTCCTAGTAGTGTATGTCATTTTTGTGTTTTTCAGATTGTCTTGAGTCCAAAGCAAATATTGTTAGATTATACCAAATATTTGGATGTTCAGTCAAATTAGGTGCACTGAACAGAATATCGGTAATGGACACAATATAGGGAATGTTGAAACTTTTCGTCATCATCTATCTGATAGTTTTGGAGATTGAATTTCCAGTGAAGACTGTACTTTGGGACGTTCGATTATGTACTAATAGCTCAACACACTTTATACAGCTTCAAGTTGACTGTGGGTTGAATCAAAATATGAATTCAAAAGCCTTATCTGCTCCAAATCTTAGCGCTCTGGATTTCCCTGCTCTCTCTGTGGCAGAAAGTCAAAACAGCAGCCTAAAGTACTCTGGCAATGATGTTCAACAAAATGTCAACCCCTATAGGTCTTCTGAAAAAGAAAACACCCTTCTGTTTAGATCTGGATCTTCCATCCCTTCACGAGGTGCTACAGATTTTGCATCTGCTGTCAGAAAGATGGCCTCTCAGGACTCTAGCATATGGAAGTATGATAGGACTGGAGTAGCTGATGCTACTGTTGGATCAAGTAGAAATTCATCTGCCTTGGCTAGTTCTTACGCTGGTGGACAGAGCAGGGGAGTTTATGGTGATAGGTTGCAGAGCCGAGGTTCCACACGTGCAGCTCCCGTTTGGCTTGAAACTGGAGAAGCAGTTGGTAATGTTTTCCTAAAGCAGCCAGTATAATTTTTGAATGTTCAATGAGGAAAATAATTTCTGCACGTCTATGCTCTTTAACTTTGTTGAGATTGCAGCAAATGTATATTCTGAAATGCGGGAAGAGGCTCGTGACCATGCACGCTTACGTAATGCATACTTTGAACAGGTATGTGGTATACATAATGATTGCAAAGGTTGATAGACGTGTAAATGTCAACTCACTTAAATTTGCATTCGTACTAGTATGTAAAGCCACAAGGGATAGTACATTAGCCTTCTTCTCCCTGAAAATCCACAAGAGAAAGAAGAAAGAATACCACGAATGTGTAATGAATACATGTATAATTTACTTGTTAAGGTAAGTTAACCTGGAATTGGGACCAATAATTGATGATGATCCTTGGATAGTTCTTAAAGGTGCTGATGGTGAAGTTAGAAGTGATTTTTTTCCTTTCTTTAATATTGGAGAAATCCCCTTTGGGCTTCTGGTTAACCTGGAATTGGGACCAATAATTGATGATGATCCTTGGATAGTTCTTAAAGGTGCTGATGGTGAAGTTAGAAGTGATTTTTTTCCTTTCTTTAATATTGGAGAAATCCCCTTTGGGCTTCTGGTTCGACCCTCCTTCCAGCATTAATACCAGGCTTTGTTTATGGCAGGATTCAAACCCGTGACGTGTGCCTTAACCCTCACATGTTATGCTTGCATCTTTACCATTGAACCAAAGCCCTGAGACTTAAGATTAGAAGTGATTGTCTGCACTTTCTATTTAATCATAATGTTATTACGACTATTGCACCAAAGCCCTGAGACTTTAAGATTAGAAGTGATTGTCCGCACTTCCTATTTAATCATAATTTTACTATGACTATTGCAAATTGATAAGGCCATCTTATTGTAGGATTATCGTAATGTGTTGGCTGTTACTCAACTTCCAAAAATAATATGTTGGTTGTTGCACCTAAGTAACATTTGATATTTAGCTTCACTGCATCACAAATTCTTTTTAGGATTAAGTATCATTGTGGCAGGAATTTATTCCAATATGATCTTGTCAAGTTAGCTTGGCTCTCTTACGCGGCACTACCAGATCCTTAATCTTTGCAACTGTGTCTATGAGTAGGCTCGTCAGGCATACCTTATTGGTAACAAGGCTTTGGCCAAAGAACTGAGTGTCAAAGGACAGCTGCACAACATGCAGATGAAGGCAGCTCATGGGAAGGCTCAAGAATCTATATATCGCCTAAGGTCTGTTTTTATCCTCCACGTGAATAGTCTGGCACCCCAAACTCTTTATATTAATGTTTTTATATGCTGGTGATGCCCTTTAACCAGAATTTTAGACTCTAGAATTTGCACAATCTTAATCTCACTCAGACAGCGATTTGCCAATTCTTCTGCTCCACACGAAGTCAAATTATCTTCCTGTTGATTTCCAGCATTTTTCAATTTTCATGCATGTGCTGCTTTGGTAGCTCTTGCAATTGTCAGGTGCTGTGCATTTCAGCTTCTCACTGTGCAATGACACAAAATGACATATAGAGAGGATGCCAATGCTGAACTGTATTCATGCTAATTGAGCTTTTAACCTGTAAACACAAAACATCCCGCTGAAGAAGTTTCGTGCATCAGTCCCTCCACCCACCACCCCCCTCCCCCCCATAAAAAACAACATTGATAAAATCTCTTTCCTCAACGAAATTTTTTAATGTGATTATTTAGGTGTCTCTTTGTGTGCATAACTTTTTTTACAGGAATCCAGTCAGTCCAGAGATGCAGGGAAATGGGAGAGGACAAGAGAGAATCATAGACCTGCATGGGCTTCATGTTAGTGAAGCTATTCATGTCCTTAAGCGTGAGCTGTCCGTGTTGAGAAATGCTGCCAGATCAGCAGACCAGCGAATACAGGTTTACATTTGCGTTGGAACAGGACACCATACAAAGGGTTCGCGGACTCCTGCTAGGCTTCCCATTTCTGTCCAGCGTTACCTGCTAGAGGAGAGCCTTGACTACTCTGAGCCACAACCGGGGCTTCTCCGAGTTGTGATATACTGAGTCGTGAAGGTATAGGAGTTTTTGACACACCATTACCCTAGAAAATCCATCAGATGAGAAAAGAGGGGTGGGAGAAAAGAAAAAAAATTGTTGTACCTGTAAATGGGGGAAACGGAAGAGTAGTGCAAATTCTGGAAAAAGGGGAAAATGAAAAGTGAAAAAAAAGGGGAAGAAAATTGTATCATTAAGGTTTAGTTGAATAGAAGGATACCTTTTTGTAGCTTGTGGGGACCTGCATCGGCCCCCTGCCATTTTGTAATTTTTGTAACTTGGGTTCTTTCTCACATTCCTTTTTATCTTGATTAGCCGATGTAACTGATAGAATTCTTTCACATGAAAGTTCAAATTCATCAAAGTGTTCAGTGGCTCTGGAAGAGCATTTCCACCGAAGTTATTGTTGCAGGGAGGTCGGGGGTAAAACGTCGTTTCTTTTGGAGTAATCATTTTATGCATGTGTGTTTTAGTGGAACCTTGTAAAGCTGTAACCCAATTTGTGACCATGTGAGTGGCACTACTAATTTACAGCCAACTCCCCAAGATATTAGTTTGTCCCCCGTTAGCTTATCGTGATTATGAGTAGTAAATTATCGTTGTATGGTTACATTTAGATGGTGAGAACCACAGACCAGGAATGTTATAGTTAAGGGATTTCTATCTAATTCCTTTACATGCAAACTGTGTTTGGATCACTCGACAAGATAAACTCGACTCTAAGTAGAGGTTTGCTTAGGTCTTAACTCGTGCATTTGAAACTTAAGGATTTAACAAGCCATGTAATCCCCATATTAAGTAGCTCCTTTCGGCAGTCTATGTTAATATTACAGATAAAAGATAGTGGTAGTAACTTTTTTAGTAGCCTATGTCAGTATCGCAGATAAAAAGACCATTAGGATCAATGACAGAAGCTAAAAGTCCTCTCTTTTATCTACAATATTATCAAGTCTCAAGGTTCAAGATTATAATCATTATCCTGATAACCAACAATATTGACAATATTATCAAGTCTCAATTATAATCCTTATCTTGATAACCAACATCCTTATCATGATTACCAAACGAGCAATTAGAGTTGGTTTGGAATAGTTATGGTTCTAGTTTAGATTTCTCTTTTCTCATTTGGTTTGTTTTAAAAACTAGTCTTCACTTATTTTTTTAAAGGAAATTCGGACACATTTGCTATACAAAAATTATGTCAATTTATATTTCTTTCCTTTTACGAATTTTACTTATTTAGCTATACAATAAGATTAATGTGACTCTCCACGTGTTTTCCAGAGAGTAACTAAGATTTGTAGCTCTTGATGACGGCTCTAAGAAATTTTTCTTGGACAGCTCTATGCGACAACTATTATTCCCTGACATAAACTAGTACTCCGTTCCTTCACTGTGAGTAATTTTGAATGTTTCACCACCCTTGCAACCAAGAGTTTTCTTTTGGGAAAATATTGAAAATATCTAAAGATTATAAACATATGCATAAAAGAAGTTGAAACTAGAATTGTAGGGAAACTCAGTAAAGAGGTCCCCTCCAAAAATAGGCGTATGCCACTGAATGCAGCGCGCACACGGTATTCTTTAGTAAAAGGCGAAAGAATAGTTCGCTTTGTGCTCACTGCGTGGCTGCGTGAGTTCTGTTGTAGCCAGTGCTTCCCTTTTTATACTGTAACAAAGTCTGGATTTACTCTTTTCTTCCGATGTGGTACGCACATCATTCTTTTTTCAAAATTAAATTTCTGTATTCTTCTTGTTCTTCTCCTTCTTCACCAGTCCTGCAATTACATATGATTGAAAATTTAGATGTTTCAAACTAAAACAACTTCTGCGGTTCGGCATGCTTTGTAATCTAATATTCGATTTCGCTTCAGCTTATGGGTTTTTTTTGAAGATTATATATGCTCACAAGCTGATCGACGAAATGCTGCACAGAATGATTTGGACTAAATATCTTGAATTTCGAATCCAGGTTGGTTTTTAATTGTATAATGGAGGATCCAATTGGCATAAACAGATCACAAAGCAGTTCTCGGTCGTTTAAATTGCATGGTTTATGCTTACTTTAAGTTAGCCTTACAATGGCATTGAGTAGTATGAGGAACCTTATACCTCGAGCTCAGATTTTGATTGCCAACAGAAGTGGATTGATGCGGTTTTATCACTACTCAGAAGAAGTCCATGAGGAGACTTTGCCTTCTGAATGGTATGAGAAAGCTTTCACAAAATTAACAAAATTGAGCCACTTGCTTAAGAGGTTGATGTACTTCCTACTCCCCCATTCTTCTCTAGGCACTCGCATTCTTCTAATGTCGTCTGTGAGAAAGTTTGCTTCTTAGTCCCCACCTTGCCTTTCCCCAATGTCACCTCAAAGAATTTAAACACTCGCGTAAGCAAAAACCCGTAGGGAAGGCCATGATTACCATCTTTGAAGGTGGCTACCTTTTGCATGTGTTCAATCATAATAACATGAAGACTTACAGAAGTAAAGCTATCCAGTTGCTCCATCAAGAACAGGTCAGACTTAGAAGTCACTGACCTTCTCTCAGCTCGAGACAGTAGAACTTTGTTTACCAATTCGAACAACAGCTGATAGATAGGAATTAACGCCTTCTTGTGGATCTTGTCCCCCTTTTGGTTTGCATTGTCTTTCACTCGGCATTTCTGAAGTTAACTGACANCCCTCCAAAAATAGGCGTATGCCACTGAATGCAGCGCGCACACGGTATTCTTTAGTAAAAGGCGAAAGAATAGTTCGCTTTGTGCTCACTGCGTGGCTGCGTGAGTTCTGTTGTAGCCAGTGCTTCCCTTTTTATACTGTAACAAAGTCTGGATTTACTCTTTTCTTCCGATGTGGTACGCACATCATTCTTTTTTCAAAATTAAATTTCTGTATTCTTCTTGTTCTTCTCCTTCTTCACCAGTCCTGCAATTACATATGATTGAAAATTTAGATGTTTCAAACTAAAACAACTTCTGCGGTTCGGCATGCTTTGTAATCTAATATTCGATTTCGCTTCAGCTTATGGGTTTTTTTGAAGATTATATATGCTCACAAGCTGATCGACGAAATGCTGCACAGAATGATTTGGACTAAATATCTTGAATTTCGAATCCAGGTTGGTTTTTAATTGTATAATGGAGGATCCAATTGGCATAAACAGATCACAAAGCAGTTCTCGGTCGTTTAAATTGCATGGTTTATGCTTACTTTAAGTTAGCCTTACAATGGCATTGAGTAGTATGAGGAACCTTATACCTCGAGCTCAGATTTTGATTGCCAACAGAAGTGGATTGATGCGGTTTTATCACTACTCAGAAGAAGTCCATGAGGAGACTTTGCCTTCTGAATGGTATGAGAAAGCTTTCACAAAATTAACAAAATTGAGCCACTTGCTTAAGCATGTGGACTTTGTTGATGGTAAGCTAGTCAATGTTAATGACCAAGCAAGAGTTTATGATGAGAGCTTGGAACAAAAGATGTCTACTTTTAAATTATTGGCTAGGACTTTTATTGGGTGTCCATCAATGCAAGAAATGATGAAGAAGAATATGATGGAAGCATTAGCTGATGCACAAAGCGACCAGCCCATGTATTTCAGCAAAACTAGCGAGAGGGAATCGATTACAATTGATTCCCTAACAGAAGTGTCAAACTTCTTGAATGTGTCTGCTCAACAGAAGAAGCTTGTCAGGCAATCGATATGTGCACAGGTGACAAAGTACCCGATATGGACAGGGGCACTCGAGGAGATATTGAATGGATTGAATTCTGAGATAGATTTTCTAAATAGTAGGTGTCCGAGTAAAGAAATTAATATGGCGCAGCAAATAGTTACAACTTGTCAAAAGTTTTTAGAAAATGCCACTTCTTATGACCCTGAATCCACTTCATGGATGCGCCTCGCACCTGCAAAAGGCGTGGAGTCACCTGCTTCTCACAAGTGGGAAGATGTTCTTGAAATGTTCATCGACCTTACTAATTGCTTGAGTGAAGAGATAAAATTAACTTCAGAGGTTAAGAAGCTTGAGGTCATGAAAGAAGGGCTTTATCAGATTAGGGATGTTTCAATAGACAAAAACATTGGGTATAAAGAAACTCGCCACCAGGAGAGTTTAGTGCACAAGAAGTTGAGTAAGACATTGGGCCACTCATCGCGATGCGTGTTCACTCTTCTTCTTTATTATCTTTATGGCAGCATATGGGATATTGAAGTTGAAGTTTGTGGAGGACTTTATGCAATTGATCGCGGGGATAAATTCCGTCTGTGCATGGGAAAGATCTTAACATCCAATGAGGAGAATACAGTGCAGAGTGGGGTAAAGCAACTAAGCAGAGTTCTGGGGCTTTTCAAGTTTGTATGGGAAACGGCAGGAATGAAAGGCGACCTAGAAGTACAAGGCCATTTGTGGTGCATTGGTGCTGAGAATAAGCTATTTACCTATAGAAACAATATGTTCTTGTTGCATTCTATTAGTTGCTGATGCGAGACTTTTCTGTGACAATGAGAACTAGAAAGGTTCCACCAGAGGATGATGTATTCATCATTGAATGTGTTTCGTAGGTTAGCATCTGATCAACTATTTGCTGTCATATCATTTTCAGTATCTTAGTTATGATATGGGGGAACTTTATGTCTGAGTTACAAGACAATCATCACTTCATTAGTTTGTTACAAATTGGTGACACTGTATTTGATAAATTGGTTTTGCTGTTTAACTTATTCGTTGTTATTTTCTTTCTGGCATCTTTTGTTGTTACATGCCTTTTTTTTTGTTTCTTTTCTGATATTATTGTCTCTCTTCTTGAGCCGAGAGTTTCCTGGAAACAGCCTCTCTACCCTTTTCGGGGTAGGGGTAAGGTCTGCGTACACTCTACTCTTCCCAGACCCCACTAGTGGGATTTTACTGGGTATGTTGATGTTGTTTTGCTGTTTAACTTGTAACCAATTGTAACGGACTTGCCTTAGTTTATGATGCTATAGGACAATTAAATGTTAGATATTACTCCTTTTTCTCTTCAACTTGCACAGGCTGGACCAATCCTATTTTGAAAAAGGTGATTATAAGAAAAGACTAGCTGGTGATCTTTTACTTGCTGCTTGTTACGAGGACACATTTATCAACCCATTTATATATTTGAGGTTTGGAAAAATATGATGAATCTCAGGCTGCTCTACACGCTTGAAAAGATGATGCAATGGGGGTATGTTAATGATGTTTACAGTAAATAAAGGTTCAAAGCTATAGAGGGGAACGACACAAATTGATTTTTTTAACCCCAGTAACAGAAGTTTTGGAAAAAAATCCGGTGCCAGAATTTTAAAGCCGCTCCTAACTATCGCCAGAATTTTAGCAAGTTATGGACTTATGGTGATCGTCATAATGTCTAGCCAAATCCTGGCCAACACCAACGGTAGGGTGTGATCGCGATGGATGTCATAGTGTCTTATCTATTCAAATAGTGGGTGCTAAAATTGTGTTGGTTCAAATCAATGCTGGTTTTCATAGTCCAACAGTCAACTAAACCATTTATTTGACGTGATGTCCCCTATTGATACAAAATTCTTGAAGAACTGCACTCTGCTATATGGAATCTCAACCTAAGTATAAAACAGAACTAAAGCAGATTTTATATTGTCATATTTGGTCAGAAAACATGAGATTTTCACAAGGACAACCCAATGGTTAATTTCCTATACTAGGCGAAGCATCTCCCAATATTATCCTGAAATATACAAATTTTGAAATTAAACGTCACATCAATAACTCCATACTCTCTTATTCAGGGAAAAGAGTAGTCTTACTTTTGAATGTTACAATAATCAACACTATGTCCTTTTAACAGCAGTAAATAGTTTATATTTTCAATTTTTTAATATTACTGAAGCTGGAATCTAAGTGTAAATCAACTTTTACTTTCTAGAACGAGTAAAATAATGAATTAATTGAGGTAATACATTTGCTTATTTTTGTTCAGAAAATTAAAACATAATCACAGCTTCCTCGGTGACTCCTATTTTATATTTATATACAAAAACGGTTGGGGGTGCGGCCCTACCCTCTCTTTCCAGCGGAATTCACCTCTTCCCCGTTCCTTCTTCGTTCCATGGTAAAAGACGCTCACAAGCTGATCGATGAAATGCTGCATAAGAATGTTTTGGAACTAAATACCTCGCGGACACTCGTAAGCAGTACCCAACGCAAAAAAATTGATCGCCTGACTCTGGGCCATGCAAAATGATAGAAGCAGTAGCTTGAGAAAAAAAAGTCGGTTTAAGAATTGGGTAGGGCCGCGCGAACGCAGGCCCCCGCTGCCACAAATTATGACGTAGGCTCGACCACTTGGGCCGACCTTAGGCGGGCACCCCTCCAAAGTGCAATGGAGGTCACCAACCTAGGCCATAGGTCTTATTGATCGCCCATTGACCCCGTCCAGGTAAGTATGTTTCATTGTTGCTCCTTGCAATGATTTTATACCCTTCCTGATCCTCAGTTTTCTTTGTTTCAGCCGATGAGGGACATTTTGAATTTATTTTCCCCTGTTTGGTAAGTACAGTAAGAGTGAGTCATCCACTTTCTGCTTGTTTTTCATTTATATAGCACGCCTGGTAGATTAAACAGATTGTACGACATCCAGTTTCCAGAAGAAAGAAGTTTAGTTTAATAAGTGATGTTCATTTCCGTTCTGAAAATAACAAACTCCTAGAGACTAGTTCACTCCTAAAGACTAGTTCAAAATTATTTCAAATTCAAACTAAATTACTGCAGTAAATAACTCTTAAGCTGAAACAGTAAAATAATTTTACTGAAAGCAGCTTCTAAAGCATATTTCTAACCGTGATAGAACTCATGTTCACAATTTCTTGTTTTTTGATAAGATGGACAAAGTTGTTATAAGCTATGGACTTAGAGGGTGTTTGGCTAAGCTTATAAGCACTTTTTGGCTTATCTACGCGTTTGGTAAAATTAAAAGTGCTTATAAGTTAAGTGCTTATAAGCCAAAAATAAGTCAAAAGCCATAAGTTGATCTCCCCCAACTTATCAAATTTCAGCTTATAAGCACTTTAAGTTTGACCAAAACATTTACTATTGTATCCCTAAAATACATTCTTTTTAGAACAAAACTCTTCGTATACCCAGTTCTTCAACTGCTTGTTATTAATTTCAGCACTTTTATCCAAACACGTAACTGCTTATTTTAAATTAGTTTCAGCACTTAAAAGTGCTTTTCAGCACCTAATGCTTATCAGCTACTCTAAATCAGCTAAGCCATCTGTTCTGACTACTTTTGGTATGAAAATCGGTTATCCACCATCCGTATGTTGCTTTTCGCCTCTGCATCATCATATCTTTACCCATAACTTAGGCCCCGTTTGGCCATGAGTTTTGCCAAAATAAATTTGAGATTTATTTTCAAAACTCGTGTTTGGCCATAAATTTTGCCCATATTTTGGCCAAATCCCAAATCGCAAATTTCAAATCCCAAAATCAGCTATTGAGCTGAATTTGGGCCAAAATCCTAAAACTTGGGAATTATATACATGTTTTTCCAAAATAAAGTTGGAAAATATGTTTTGAAAACGTATGTCCAAACACATTTTCATCTTCAAACCAAACTTCACCCAAATCAGATTTTTCAAAATAAATTTGGGATCTATGGCCAAACGCTAGCTTATTTTCTTGTTCTCAGGGCACTGGGCATTTCTCCGACAATTCACTTGCAATGGTGGCTGATATGGTGACTTCTGGACATAGTTATTTTGCTCTCGGCATTCTTGGCGCAGCACAGATAACAATATAATGCATAATAACTTTGTGCTCCTGTTCTTTTGAGTCCTCTACTACCACTAATCTAACCAGTTTGGTAAAGCTAGGGAAATGATCATCCTATCATTTGATTTAAAAGTCAAAATGTGTGCAATTTTAGTAAATAATATATGCTGTGCGGCTTAGAAATCTGTTTTAGCTAAATTAGCTTTTCCAAGTTCTGATTAAGAACAATGGAGCAGAAAAACTTTCCCATATTCCTATTGGAGTCTTTCCCTTATGATCAGTTCACACTTCTCTTTTTTGGACATAAACGGGTGCTTACATTAATTAACTATCTCTTAGGAGACTTGCTAATCAATCGATCCACAGGTCAAACTGGATTTTTTTGGTGCTTCTTCTTTGCAGGATTTGAACTAGCTAATCTTTCTGAGCAAATGTAAGATTATGGGATTGTAGCATTTGGTGGAGTTCCCTTAGCTCAACACAGATCTTACGTACGTTTTATGGAACTTTGGGAGTAAAGTATTTAGTGGAATTCACATAGTTCAGTGCAAAGATACTACTCCCTCCGTTGCAATTTATGTGAACTCATTTAACTGGGCACGAAGTTTAAGAAAAGGGAGAAACTTTTGAACTTGTGTAAATGTTTTGTGTGGCTATAAATCATTACATAAAGGTAAATTGTTTCCAAATAGGGAAAGTGACCATTCTTTTTGGCACGGACTAAAAAAGAAATAGATTCACATAAATTGAAACAGAGGGAGTACATCTTTTCGGAGGCCATTTCCTCCTCATCGTTCGGGCAGAGGCGGAGCTGGAGTTCTCGTTACAGTTCGTGAAAACTAGTAGCTTCAGCCAAAACTTTGTATTTGTGTTAAGAAATTCTCTTAATATGTATAAATAATTATGCAAAACTTATAAAGCTGCCTTTTCTAGAATCCAGATACCACAAATTCAAATTCTGAATTCGCCTACTTAATATTCAACCTCATTGAAGTATAACAATGGCTATGGAGAGATTGTTAATGCGATAAACAATAGTCTTTTATCAATGTTATCACTCCGAGTTTATAGCTGTTGATCTCCAGATGCATAAAAGTTACTCTCCAACGGTATTAAAAAGTTGAAACTAGAATTGTATGGGGAGCTCAAATGAGAGAACCCCTCCAAAAATAGGTGTATGCCACTGACTGCAACGTGTACATGGTATTCTTTAGTAAAAGGTGAAAGAATAGTTCGCTTTGTGCTCATTGCGTGGCTGTGTGAGTTTCACTGCTCTTCGCATTTGCCATTTTATATGTAACAGCAAGTTCTAACTTACACTATCGATGTGGGACTCAACTCACTCCTTTTCCTCTATCAGCCACTGTAACAAATTATTATGTAAGCTCAACCACTTGGGCCAATCTTAGGCTGGCACCCCTCCAAAGTGCAATGGAGGTCACCAACCTAGGCCATGGGCCTTGTTGATCGCTCATTAACCCGTCTAGGAAAGTATGTGTCATGTTGCTCTTTGCCATGTTTTTATACCCTCCAACTCCTAGTTTTTGTTTGTGCGACATACAGACTGGTTATGTATTTCAAATCTAACACGAGTGCTTATCCATAAACTATTTTTATAAGCACATTTAGTTGAGACTTACCGCAACTCCATAATTGTGACAACCATAGATTCCTTTCTTTCCCTCAATTTGAGGGAACATGCAGATAAATAGCAGAGAGCAAATACATAATACTGAAGGGCTCCATGTCCCACTTTAATACTGAAAAAGGTTAACTATAAGAAGACTGAAACTAGAATTGTAGGGAGTACTCGATAAAGAGTACCCCTCCAAAAATAGGCGTATGCCACTAAATGCAGCGCGCACACGGTATTCTTTAGTAAAAGGCGAAAGAATAGTTCGCTTTGTGCTCACTGCGTGGCTGCGTGAGTTTAACAATAGCCAGTGCTTCCTTTTTTGTACTGTAACAAAATCTGGATTTACTCTTTTTTCCCGATGTGGTACACGCATCACTCTTTTTCCCCTTAAGGCTTCAAATTATATTTCTCTCATTCTTGTTCTTCTCCTTCTTCACCGTCCTGCAATTACTATATGGTGGAAAATTTACATATTTCAAAATAAAAACAACTTACGCGGTTCTGCATTATTTGTAATCTTATATTCGGTTTCGCTTCAGTTGATTGTGAAGAGATAAATATGCTCACAAGCTGATCGACGAAATGCTGCACAGAATGATTAGGACTAATTATCTTGAATTTCGGATCCAGGTTGGTTCTTAATTGTAAAACGGAGGATCCAATTGGCATAAACAGATCACGAAGCAGTTCTCGGTCGTCTAAATTGCATGGTTTATGCTTACTTTAAGTTAGCCTTACAATGGCATTAAGTAGTATGAGGAACCTTATAACTCGAGCTAAGATATTGATAGCCAGCAAAAGTGGAGTCATGCGGATTTATCACTGCCCAGAAGAAGCCAATGATGAGTCTTTGCCTTCTGAATGGTATGAGAAAGCTTTCTCAAAATTAACAAAATTGAGCCACTTGCTTAAGCATGTGGACTTTGTTGATAGTAAGCTAGTCAATGTTAATGACTGCTCAAGAGTTTATGATGAGAGCTTAGAACAAAAGATGTCTACTTTTAAATCACTGGCTAGGACCATTATTGGGTGTCCGTCAATGCAAGAAATGATTAAGAAAAATGTGATGGAAGCATTAGCTGATACACAATACGACCAGCCTGTGTATTTCAGTAAAGCTAGCAAGAGGGAAGCGATTGCAATTGATTCCCTCACAAAAAAGTCGAACTTATTGAATGTTTCTGCACAACAAAGGAAGCTTGTCAGGCAATCGATATGTGCACAGGTCACAAAGTATCCGATATCGACAGGGGCACTCGAGGAGATACTTAGTGGACTGAAGTCTGAGATAGATTTTCCAAATAGTAGGTGTCCGAGTAAAGAATTTAATATGGTGCAGCAAATAGTTACAATTTGTCAAAAGTTTTTAGAAAGTGCCACTTCTTATGACCCTGAATCCACTTCATGGATGCGCCTTGCACCTGCAAAGGGCGCAGTCACTCACTTCTCACGGGTGGGAAGTGAAAGTACAAGAGGGGGTGAATTGTAGTCTTTTTAAATTTCTAGTCGATTACTTTTCAGACCTAGTCGACTTATGCGGAGACAGCCTGTACAGAACTGTTAGTCTTTTCGATTTAAACAAGTGTTAATCACAATAAACAGTAAAGGAACAGAATATAATATGAGAGAGATAAAGTAAATAACACCAGGAATTTTTATACTGGTTCGGAACCAATGTGGTATCCTAATCCAATCCTCTTGGGTTGCAAGAGTGTTGTCTTTTAGAGCTCTTTGTAAATTGAATTTAGTGCAGCCTTTTTGTTTTCGGCGATCACAACCAACGTTGACAGGGTTGGTTTTCACTCGCTCACCAACAACGACCATTTGGTTTTCACTCACTCACCAAAGAAACGAACAATGACACCCTCTCGGACACACTGCCTCTCCAATATTTTTCTGTCTCTCTTCTCTCTTTTGTGTACACAGTAAATCTAAAAGTGAATTACAATGCTCGTTAAGAGTAGAATAAAGAACTTGTAATTGGGCAGACAATTGTATAGAAGGTTACGTGTTTTTCTTTACGTGTAGAGCTCCTCTTTATAGCCTTCTCAACTTGTTCCGGCTACTGCATAACCCAAGAGAATTTCTTTTGTACCGTTGCGTGATTGTCTTGAATCTTGGCATGTCTTCTTTTAGAATTGATTATAGCTGACATGTCTCCTAAAAATGGACTTGAATATTTTCCAATGTAGTAATACCGTATCACTACATCTTGTGTCAAAATATGCTTTCCTTTTGCAAGGTGCCATTTACATTTCAAACTCCAATGCTCATAAAGTTTTTTTTCATATGAACTTGGACATTTCCATGTGTACTGGAGGAATTGACTTTCTTTAAATGTAAGCATGATTCTCTTTCTTTTAAAGAATAGATACCGATGAGATTCTCTTTCTTTGCCTCCTCATACTTCTTTCCTTTTCTAATAGATCTCAATATATCTTTGTCTCCTTTTTTGATCTTGATAAATAATCTCTTTCCATAATATAGATTATACTATACCCATAATATATTTTCTTTCCATAAAAATATATTCTTCCTTGCCTTGTAATATCTCTTCCATATAGTATCTTCCTTCCACAAAATAATAGATCTTCTCCATGATTTTAGCAACTTTCCTTTCAAGATGTTGAAGAGCTTTCCATCCATAATTTCCATAGATTCTTCTTCTAATATTGTAGTAAGCCATTCAATATTTGAAATTTCACTTTCAAATATTATTCCTTCTATGACGCAAGGAGATTAAATCTTTAAAAATAATCTTCCTTGAAAACTTCTTCACATGATATTCTCTTTCCCAAATTTGTTTGGATCTTTACTAGCATTTTCTTTCGTGTACAAAAATAAGATTACCACAAGTAAATATTCTTTGATTAATAATTATTTTGGTTTGTTATCATCAAAATTAATACGTGAAACCTTGAAGCTAACAATCTCCCCCTTTTTTATGATGGCAAACCATTGAGTACAAAATAAGAAAATTTAATCAAAGACTTAATTAAAGTACAGTAAAGGTTACTTCCTGAAATGTCGAGCTTTCTCTTTCATGCATAGACATCATGGCACGTAATGGCTCCCCCTTACTCTAAGCGTTCCTTCGTCATGCTCCCCCTGCCTTTAAGCATCTTATCTGTAAATTTGCAAGGAAAGTTTTGTACCATATATTTTCTCCCCCTTTTGTCATCATCAAAAGTGTGGAATAACTTGGATGCAATCATGTATATGTAACCAAGGTTATAACCTATTCACATATCATATTTAAAGAATGGCTATAACATATAATCATCCAAAGAGTTAAAAAATATGTAGTAATAATTTTCTTTAAGAGTCGTAAGTTTAGCTAGTTGAAAGCTTTTAATCCGACCAAAATATCCACGACACTAACCAAAGCTAAAAAGAATTGAATTGTCATTGTAGGTAGATTAAAAAAAATTCTAGACCACAGAAGAACATCATTTCACAGGATTGAAAGCTTAGCAGAGATTTAAAAAACTCACGGGATACTTGATTTTTCCAAAACATCATTTAGCATATAAGAAGGTGTAATCGCACATAGTCACTTGAAAAACGCTAGATGATTTTAAAAGATTAAGAAACTTTTGATATCCTCAAATGTTAAACTTTCAAGAAAAATTTGAACAAAAACTTAAGACCCTTAGAAAGATTACAACATATTAATGCATACAAGAGTCAAGAAATGGTCATATATTCATATCACCAAAAAAAAGGATATGGGATCATATCACCAAAGAGAATGATATGGGATCATTCTCATGAAAGTCGTTTATCCTTTTCATGGCATGAGAGTATTAAAAATCTCCATCCCATTTTTTTTTTATTTGACTCCACTTTGTTGCCTGCAAGGTTTGCATCTGAAAATATCCTACTAGACCAAAGCAATTAATTCTTGCACACAATAATTCATAATATAGAATGTCAACCAAAAATCTTTTTTGGCACTATAAAGAGATATTATAGGATCAGGTATACTAAAATATTTGTCATAAAAAAAGCAATAGAGAGTCGGTCATACCTTGGTGCTTTATTCGATCGTTGGGCTTACTAATTTTCTCCTTGATTCGCATTATTTGGAATGTGAAGATGAAGGTTAATTCTCCGTCATACTTATTTTCAAACCGATCATCTTCTAGAGGCTTAAAAAAGCTTGACATGCTTTTGGTTAGTATTATAAAAAAAATATGCTCTTGTAAATGCATCTTTGGAAAGAATACTCGTCAGATGATAAACATGAATTTGTTTCAAATGATAACTAGTTTTGGTCACAAGAATGTGGTTCAAAAAACCTTCAATTCCAGAGAGAGGCTAGAGAATAATGGTATGCAATTTTCAAACCATTTAAAAAATATTTCAACATCCATACAAATAGTTTACAAACTTTGTAATATGCACATGAAAAACGATGTTCTAACAGATCTTTCTAGGAAGAAACAAACCCTTTTGTTGTGAAACCTTGGGCTACAAGTTTGCACATAATTTCACAACCTTACCAATCTTATCAGGCTTTAGATATCCATGATTGCAGCTCCTTTGCTTGGTACTGGATTCCCATACTTTTGATTCTTTCAGCTTTGCTCGACAAATCTTGCATTGCTAGAATCCAGCTTTCATCGTTTAATGCTTCTTCATGATTGTCTAGTTCAACTAGTATAGCAGTTTACTGTAAGTTCTCCATCCTTATACACAATTTGCTTAGAAAAGTATTAGTGTAAAGAAAAAATACGCACGTTGAGATTTCTCTACTACTAATATTCTGAACTTTATAAAATCGTAAGTAGTAATGAATAAGGAATATGTCAAGTGTCTTACCAAGACATTTGCAACCAAAGGAAATAAAATAACCAAAAATTGATTTTTCTTCCTTCCTATAGCTCAGAAAATTTTTTATTCAAGATAAGATCCAATGAAAAATATTAAAGCACATATAAGCCAATGATGATAATTTATGCAAAAAAAATGATCCTTTCTTTTCAAGTCAGCTTTCAACTGAGGTGCCAAACTAAAAATGTGAAAGATCATACTGTTGCAAGAAAATGTCAAACACATACTATTAAAACTCATATCGATGATCACTGCAAATGCGTCATTTTCTTATTAAAAAATATGACCTATGCAAAAGTAAGGATAATCATCAATAGAAACATATATAAGTACCTTCCTAGCTTTTGAGTCCTAGGAATAGTCGAGTATCTCCACATGCACATGTTACCGAGGCATCAAGGTTAAACAACCTTCTCAAATTTGAATGAAGTATTGAAACTTTCACCAAGAGAATGAATATAAGAAGTAATTCTCTTCACAAATTATCTTAAGCTCACAACTACTTGAAAAGAATACATGCATGCATGCTTGCTTATCCTAATGCTTATACAAATGGCATGGTTCATGCAAGATATAAATTCGTTCTTATTCAAAATCTCTAAGTCAAGGATAAGATTAACACCAAACATTATAGTAGTATGTTGCAGCTAGTTTACTCAAGCAATATGTAGTTGTACATATCATATTATACTTAACAAAAAAATATTACTAGATACGTATCACCTTATAAAGAATCCGAAGGAACTTGAATAACCTTTAGTGATACCAATCACTTAAGCTTTACCATCACGTATAATAGTTCCTTCATCATATATAGATTATGTATGAACTTTGAAGCATTTTTAAGCATGTGCCTTGACCAGCCATTATGCAAATGTCATTTATCCCTTTTTATGGCTGGACTCAAAATTCCTGCAGGTGCCTTGTAGTAGACTTGGAGCTTTCCTCAGTCAACCTGTTCAAAGTAGGACATTTACCAGTAGATCCCTTTTCAGTCGACTTATAGTTGTTAAGCCAAGGAGACGACTTTGATCGATCAAAGTAGTGACTGGGAGATTTGTGCAAGCTACTTATTTGTTTGCGAAGCTCAAAATTTTCTTCTTGAATTAAGTTATTCTCCTCTAGATATTCTTTAAGCAGATTATCCTTGTCTTTTTTTTTTTATTTCTCAACTTGTTATATTCTTCAAGTTGGATCTCCCAATCTTTTTTCTCATGTGTCAACTTCTTATATTCTTCATGTTGGATCTCCAAGTTCTTCTTCTCCTTCCTCAACTTATTATATTTATTTAGAACTTTCTCAAGGTCATTGAGAACCAATTCGATATCATCATGCAATTCATCACATTTATCGCAATACATAATAGGACTGGGACATACCTTGTTAATTTCTCCTATTGCCATGAAACATTGATTCTCCATTCTTTAGTGATTGTTTTCTTCTTCAGATTCATCATCGTCGCTTCAAGATTTGTGATTCTTTTTCTTGAGATCACAATCCAGAATAGCATTAAAGCACACCCCGTCAGTTTCTCCTCTTTTCTTGAGACACATGTTTGTCATTTCTTCTTGATCATCCTCGTCACTCCAAGTTGATATTCTATGATTTTTCTTGAGGCTGGGACATTTTAATTTCATATGTCCAGGTTTACCA